AGATTCACCACATGACCTACGTGGTCAGTGCGCCCCAAAGCCCAAATCACCATCATCATCCCAAAAAGACTCATTGTTAAGCTTGGTGCGTGCATGCACCAGTTCCAGTGCACTTACATCACATGAATGTCATCCGCAGTGTGTGGACTTTTGTATACTGATTCAGTGTTAAAATTTTGGCATGTTGTAAGGAATGACATTGAGATCATCAGCCAGCCATCATGTGCTGCAAAGAAGTTATACTTTGATAAATTATTCAATGTCCTGGTTCTGCTCCAGCTCTTTTGCAGCCCCTGGTGTTTGGGAAGGCCATGGTTAATGGGCTGTCCAGGTTTCATCCAAAATCATCATTGTATGCTTAGATTTTGATACCATAAGAGTAGGGTTACCTGCTCTTACCTGTAAGATGCCTGAAATCATGTGAGCAGAAGTGAAGGTTCAGCCATCTAATGAAAATGATCTGTGTATTTTTTTTAGAAAACCACTGTCCTTTATCCTACTTAAGTTTTATCACATGTGCCATGAGTGCTAGATGCAGGTGTTCCTTTACAGCATCTCATATATGCTTAATACAGCTGTTCTCTGTAAGATACTGATATATGCTGTGACAAATAGTCATGGCTATACTACACCATAATAATTGTTAAATTGTTACAGTTTGGTTGTGTATGCTGCTTACCATTGCACTCTTAGCTTATCTTTCCATAAATATGTTTTGATCATTTTGGACAAAATGTCAAGAAACTATTAGAACCCACTGCTAATTGTGGACAGTTTTTTCTTTGGAGGTCCTACACCATGCTTCTAAAATGCTAAAACTCTTAGACACTCAAAACCACCTTTGGCGTCCATTGGAAACATGCTTGTCCGTTATCAAATGTCCACACAGCCATGATGACCTTGGTGTATCATCTAAAACTTGCTGGTGTGAATAAAAATTGTATTTGTTATGCACATTTATTGCAACCATTTGCAACTTTGTGTAGGATTGCTGCCAATTTTTACTGTGGTGAGCTGATTCATGGCAGTCTCATCTTTCTGAAAGCAGCAAGACTCAGAAGGATGTGGTGCAATGTGGTGCAAAAGCATGGTTGAATTGGGCTAAGGTTTTCTTGTTTGTTTTCCCTTCTCTCAGTGTAACCTGGTTATGTATGTCAAATAGACAGATAGGATGAGTACTATTGAACCCTACAATCATATGATGCCATGGCAGTCTGATGAGCATGACCTGCTCCTGACATTGCCCCCAAGACCATGCTTGACCTCATACAAGTGCTTCACCCTGACTGGAGCCCCGCTCGCAGCAAACTCCTCTGGGTTTGTTTCAGACATGACGCCGTGGAGCGGCGGCGCCAGGCGGCCTCTGCCGCCTCCTCCACCGTGTCTTTCAGTACGACCCGCGACGCGCGCACCATCGCCGGCGTGCAGACGTCGCCCAGCTCCTCGGTATGGGCCTCCATCTCGACCCCAGAGGGTCCGCTGACGGTCCCCCTCCTCTGAACCGCCCGTTACCGCCGCTTATTGTCAACCGGGCGTCGTGGGCAGCTGCTCAGCTGGGCGCAGCTATCCACTCATCTACATTTGTCATGGCTGATTGTGGCTGGGAATACAGAAGGCACCATGATGTTTGGATGTGCTGATGACAAAATAAACATGTTTGTTATTGTGAACTCTGTCATAGACCCAGCCCCAGATATATGACATGAACAATGACTTGTGGACCATCCTCTTGTCACCGCCACTCCGTCTCATATACGTTAGACCGGCGCCCTTTGCCGTGTGTTGCGATGACCTCTACCCCGTGCGCCGATCCCCTATGTTTGTTCGGCTCGATGACGATCACACTCCTCGGCTCTGTCGCAGACGTGCTGCAGCGACGTGGTGGAGCCACTTGACTTTGAAGAATTCCTGGAGGCGCACCAGCTGGAGCTGGCCTCGGACGAGCTGCGTGACCTGCTCGACTCGCCGCCGGACGACATCGACGTGGGCATCATACAGCGCCGATACCGCACCGTCCGGCCGCTGGCGCCCGACAAACACGAGATCGGGTCAGTGTGCTCCCGTCCCCCTGCCACCACCACCGCCGACACTGCACCGTTTTCCCGCTGCTCCCCCTCCCCCCCCCCCCCCCCCCCACATGAGATGGTGTCATTCGCGAATCCACAAGTTTTGTGTGATCGAAGGGACCGATACCATTGATCATCAAAGGAGTAGCTGAGGCCAGCTGATGAAAGCTATAAGTGAGGGTCAAAGTAGTTTGAGTTGTTTCTTTTCTTGTAACATCTTCGGCTTGGTGCTAATTGTGGACAAAGTTCGAGGAGGAGTAGCAGCTGTTCCCTCTCCCTCTTCCCTTTGCTTCTGTAGCCAGTGGTAGCTGCACCCTATGGACGTGCTGCGTGCTGGGTAATGCAAACAACGCTGGTCGTGGTAATGTGCTAATGCTCAAGCCGAATGAGACATTGCCAGTTGCATGACCCTGGCAGATTAGATTTATGTACATGTATGATATATGGCATACTGATTTGGCCTTCTCATTCCTACCTCAGATCGCTAGACCTGCATGTACAGGAGTGCGTGCGCCACTACTTGTCCGACTGGGTGTACGCCCATCGGCGGTACTCGGAGTTCGGCAGTGCTGGCATCTACCAGCGCTCGCTGGAAGCACAAGTGCAGACATCTGCCGAGCTGTATCAGGAGTACGAGGTTGACGGCGTGGTGGAATTTTCCATCTCCAATGGCGCCAGCAAGGTAACCATTCAAGCGCGTGTGGAACAATGGGGCGCTGCTGAAGCCATTTTTACTGCTCAGCCAGTCACTTTGTACTGTTTCACTTGTCTGCTGGCCGTGATAAGTTTCAGTTGTCGGATGACAGTCCTATGCAGAGGACTGTCGCGAGATAGCTCAAGGAGCGCAGTTTCGACAGTCCCACGTAGAACACTGTCATGATATAGCTCAGGTAGCACAGTGTCGACAGTCCTGAGCAGAGATAGCCCAGGTGCCGACCACCTCGGCCAGCTACCGCCCTCCTGAGGCCGGCCGGCCGCTGACTCCGTCCCCCGGCCGCTCCCAGTCGACGCCGTCAAGCTCGGCCCGCAGCAGCATGCTGATGGCCGACACGCCGCGTGGGAGCTGGGCCTCCCATTTCGACCTGAAGAACTCGACGGCCGACGCGCTGCTGCCGTCGCTGCTGGACCGCGTGCCGACGGACACGCTGGACCGGCTGAACGAGGCGCGCCGTCAGCAAGGCCGCCTGGTGAGACGCCTCGCCCGCCGGCCGGCCACCGCCGCCGCCGCTGGTCACTGGGGCCGGCCGGGGTCAGGCCAGGGTGATGGCAATGACACGGTCGCGGCGCGGATCCAGGCGTCCCCATAGTCGGATTTATCCGTGTGAGAACATCGGACCTTGTGGTTCTGTGATTCTAGCCCAGCCTGTGCCAAGGTCAACTGGTGTAAAGTCCAGTACATGCCCGATGAGGCGGGCCGTCACGTCTGGACACGGGATCGGGTGGGTGGGTGTATTGGAAGCCAACCGGAAAATGCCGTGTCTGACCATGGCTCTCTGATGTGCTGTGCCACACCCGTGTTTGTGGTCAGGGCCCGCTGTTCGTGCTGTATCACACCCTTACGCACTTCTTCCGTCTGTGGTCAGGGCACACTGTTCTTGCTGTACCACACCCGTACGTACTACTTCCGTCTGTGGTCAGGGATCGCTGTTCTCGCTGCACCACACCCGTACGTACTACTTCCGTCTGTGGTCAGGGATCGCTGTTCTCGCTGTACCACACCCGTACGTACTACCTCCGTCTGTGGTCAGGGATCGCTGTTCTCGCTGTACCACACCTGTACGTACTACTCCCGTCTGTGGTCAGGGCTCACTGTTCTCGCTGTGCCACACCCGAAAATACTACTTCCGCCTGTAGTCGGGGCTCGCTGTTCTCGCTGTCCCACACGCGTACGTCTGTGGTCAGGGCTCGCTGTTCTCCCTGTACCCGCCCGAGGACGAGGAGGACGTGATAGAGCGCCGCGCCGCGCCGCCGCTGCCGGCCGAGCACCGTGGCCACCGCATCCTCGTCAAGTGTCTCCAGCTCAAGTAAGACGCGCTCGCGGTGACCTGGGGCGGCGCAGGCTGGCCGGCCCGGGCGACAGCGCCACCCGCGTGGCGAGGGGAGCCGCTGTCTTGAGCGTGTGTGTACAGCGTGTGGTGTGCGTTTTGGGACGATAGGTGGCTGTGTTTGCGCTCTGAAGGCTCAGCTCCTGCCTGGTCTGGGAGCGTGACCGCAGCAACGTCTAACGGCAGTTCAGCATCTCGCCCGCGACGCAGCAGCGTCTTGCAGCTCCGCATCTCTCTGTAACATCTCGCTCTTTTGTGCAGACCCAGTCACGTGTGCAGTGTCGTCTCGCGTGGCGGCGCCATTCGCGGTGCCCGGCGCCGAGGTGCGGAGATGCGTGGCGGTGTGACGTCACCGAGAAGCCCGCAGTGTGAGGTGGCGTCACGCGGCTGTCGTCGGCTGTCGTGACGAGGCTGGCGTCCTGGCAGGCTGGAGGTGACGATCGAGCCCATCTTCGCCTCGATGGCCCTGTACGACGCCGGCCGGAAGAAGAAGATATCGGAGAACTTCTATTTCGACATGAACTCGGAGCAGATGAAGAGCATGATGCGCGACCACGTGCCCTACGTCGACATCAGCACACTCAGCAAGAGCTGCTTTGACATCACCTACCCCTCGGCGGACCTATTCCTTGTGATCAAGCTGGAGAAGGTGATGAAGGGCGCATCAACGAGTGCGCCGAGCCGTACATCAATGATAAGGTGGGTCAATGGAGGTCGCACCGGCTGGGTCTTGGCGTCGCCTAAAGAGTTGAATACAGTACCTTACTCACTGATCTACCTCATTATGAACCACTGACATGGGTGGCATTGGGTAACCGAGCGGCATGTGCTGCACTCAGTAGAGAGAATGCCGCTGCGGACGCAGTGCGACGGGCCTGGACTCAACCCATCAGCGGGACATCGACTTCCCGACTTCCGGTCGGTCGGCGCATATCGTGACGCGCACCTGACTGGACCCCAGCGGACACGAGCGGGCCAGAAAGGCCACGTGCCGCTGGTAGTGGCGCACGGCTGTCGTGGCCGGAGCCGCTGACGACGCTAACGCCGCTAATGCCGCGCTCATCCGCCGCAGAGCGGGAGAAGGCACACGCCGTGGCGGCCGGCT